AATAGTTTTGCTATTATTACACTATATACACAGGTTATATGTAAGTATCTGCATGTTTTGCTCACCATAATGGACCACTAAGTTGGTATGGTGAGTCAAAAAGCAACGAGGATTGGCTGCCACACCAGCCAGCCAGCCACTGGCTGCCACTCCCTTCCTCACCTCACCTCACTCGCCAACATTCTCCTCCCACCATACTGTTTTTGCTTTTACTCATTATATATAGATGTTATATATAAGTATCTACATGTTTTGTTCACCATAACTGTTCATCTAAGCTGGTATGGTGAGTTCAGGCAATAACAGAAGTCGCAACACAGTCAGCTCCCTCCTCTCCCTCACTCGTTCAAGGCCAAACACACTAATATTTCTCCTACAACCATACTATTTGTGGTATTATTACACTATATGCATACATTATATATAAGTATCTGCATGTTTTATTCACTATAACTGTTCAGCTAAGCTGATATGGTGCCCAAACAGCATAGTGGCCACCATACACTGCATGACAAGTCATGCAGATGACGCCACCTCCTTTGCCAAAATGGCTCCTCCCAACATACTTCTTTTGCTGTTATTACACTATATACACACATATATAAGTATCTACATATGTGTTTACCATAGCGAACCACTAAGTTGCTATAGTGAGTCCAGACAGTAAAACGTCAGTACCACCACAGCACTGCTTGTTCACACAGCCCCCCCCCTTCCCAAGGAGAGGGATGGGTGGCCCCCGGACCCCTCATGCCAGCTACTCCACCATTCAGTTCCTCGGCTGATGTTGACTCTGGTGGTCATCGACTCTGGCCTCTGACTCTGTGCAGTTCTGTCTTGTGGTGTATTTTTGCTGTGCGTGGTGTGCAGGCCAGTAGTAGTTGATCAGTACTGGGGCTGCATGCACTTAGGGCTGCCTTCCCTAAGCGGCCTGTTAGTACTGCTTTTGCATCTTGGAGTTGCCTTCCACAAGGTGTTTTCAAACCACTTCTGTAGGTGTCTTTCACTGCTCGGCAATTGCCCGCCCTAGGGGCCAGCTGTTTTTTTTTTTTTGTAGCTGCTCTTTGGCCTTGGGTAGGAAGTGGTATCGTTGCTAATAGGGGCTCAAGACATTGTACAGCTTGTCTCCCATTATACACAGCGGCCAGTTCTGTTTCTCGTGGGAACGTTGTGCTTTCACAGAGTTTTCTTTTTCTTTTTGTTTGTTTTGCCTGTTAGGGGTCTGCCCCCTTGGTTTCATCCACCTTCTGTTGTATTGGTGGTCCTCTGCTAGGCCTCCGTGCTTGTATATGTCACAGGGGTTCATTTTTTTTAGCAGTTCTCTTGGTAGTTGGGCCTAACCAATTAGCAATACATTCTCTGGGCTTCACTTAAAAGTCAGCCTAAGGGCCCTGGAAAATCCCATTTGGGCTCTTTGGATCTATGGACGCATCCTCTGGATTCCAACTCACCGACTGGGAGTTTGATGGTTGCTCTTTCCCCTTGTCTCAGGGGTGACACTCGCCAGTTTTGCCTCCGTCATGCTGCCTGCTGGGTCAATGACACCTTTGGCCCGGAGTCTTGCGAGTCTTGCTCCTTGCTCGTGCTCCAGATTACCCAGTCATCTGATATTAATGTTCGGGTACAGACGGCATTGGCGTTGCATGCTAGATATCGGTTGCTGCAGCACGCTAGGTTGGCTGCTTACCCGGATGCCCCGAGGCTGCTCCACTTGGATTATAGGGACCCGGACTTGGGGGCGTTAGTCGCTTCGACTTTGGTTTTGTCTGCACTCCTGAGTCCTTCCCCGGTTGGTGGTGTTCGTCCTGCTCCCCCCACCCCCTGCTCTTGGCTCCAAAATGTGAAAGGATTTGGAGTCGGGCGGGGTTTTAGATGGTAGTGAGACTAGAGCAGCTTCGAGGTCTGCTCCTTCTGGGTCAGCGATGGAGGCACTTGAGCCTACTCCTCCTGCTTCTGGGTCTTACCAGTGGACCCCCTTTTCTCAGTCTTTTCCCTGGACTCTTGCCTTTTCTGTAGGGGCAGAGGGTGTGGAGCACGGCTCTGCCCCGGTTCCTGGTGTGGAGAATCCTGGCGCTGGGAAGGAGTTGACTTGGGGGGGGGAGGGGCCTTGGCCCTGTTTGACCCTGCTTGGGTGTTCGTAACCTTGTCAGGGGGCTCGTGGTTGTAGGGGGAGGAGTTTTCGTACCCCCCCCCTTTACCTTTACGAGTACAGTATGATTTGGGTTCGGCTCCTCCCAGGGTTCAGTTCCGTGTTCCCCTGAGTTTTTGGGTTCCTTCCTTCCTTCCGGAGGTTTTCTGCTTCTCGAATCCTGCCTAAGGAGGTTCGAGAGACTATTGCAGTTTGCCTCCTGCGAAACCTGGATTACACCTCGGTCATGGATCGGTTTCTATTACTTTTAACGTCTTTTGAGTTTGGTTCGACTTTCCCCTATTGGGTGCGTTACGAGGTACCGGAGTCTTCCTGGTTTGCAGATTCCTGGTTTCTTTTCGATGGGAGTGTGGCATGGATTTTGTCGGACCCGTACGTTTAATTGGCGGGAGACTTCCACTGTTGTACAGGTTTACTTGGGGAGAGAGCTTGAGCACATTAATGAGTGCTTGTTCACCCCTGTGCTTCCTCAGGATGTTGGCATTGTGCAGCTGCACATGCATGTTCCCTCCTTTTGGCTTCCTTGGTAACTGAGGAATTGCATGCTTGGGGGCATTTGGCCATCTGATTCTCAAGGAGGCGGTGTCTCCGTTTTTTGCTTCTTGCCTCGCATTCCGACAGGCTGTGCCTGCTCTCTCCTTGGAATCCGCTTGGGCACTGGCTCTTAGGTTTTCAATGCCATTTTGTCCGTTGCTGTTTGTGGAATCTGCTGTCACAGTTTCTGCAGGCAGCTTCATCTAGTTGTCTTCACATGTCGGACTTGTTAGTTCTCCAGTGTGGCCATGGTGGGCCTTCCTGAAAGGGTCGTGCCAGGGTTCGGGGTTCCTTTAGTCGTGGATGGCCAGTTTTGGAGTCGACACTTCCTTCGGAGTCAGCAGCGTCTGGTCTACGCATTGGTCACTCTGTTCGTTGTCTGACTTCTTGCTAAGGACGTCGACCCTATTGCGAGTTGCCCAGTTGACTGGGCAATGGGGGGCCGGCTTGTGCTGTTTGCTCACTCCTGGTTCGTGGTTGTTTCGGGTCATCTCTTCCGGCCTGTGGTGGCATTGGGCGGCTCTTCCTCCTTTGGGGGGGTTCGGGGCTAGCGGTGCAGACCTCTTCCCGACATGAACCGCAGACATGTGGTTCATGTCCGGTGGGGGGGGGGGGGTGTCTCAGTTCATTCCCCCTGTCCACGGAATGGACGGTCGATGCCGACTTCTTTGGTTGGCTCTGTCGGATGTACGGGCTCCCAGATGTGGACCACTTCGCGTCGGCATGGTCTTGGCATTTTCCCATGTATGTGGCACCCTTCCCGGTCAGTGAGGCTATCGCGGTGGATGCCTTTCAACAGGACTGGTCGAGATGGGGGTTACCTGTACCTCTTCCCACTGGTCCAGCTGTTTGTTCAGGTCCTGGCTCGGTTGGAGACCTACCAGGGGAGAATAGTCCTGTTGGCCCCTTAGTGGACGGCCCAGCCTTTATTCTAGGCGCTGTTTGCTTGGAGTGCGAACCCCCAATGTTTCCTGTGGCTCCGCCTCTTTCAGCAGATCGGACCAGTCCGGCATCCGGCATGTGGTTGGTTCGATCTTCTCCTTTGATCTTCACGTCTGGTCTTTCTGATGCAGGTATATCACCACTTGTATGGTGATCAGGTGGCTTCGTTGATAGTGTCCCACCTGAGGGCTTCGTCTCATTGACAGTAGGAAGTTTCCTGGCGCTCTTTCTGCCATTTTCTAACTTTACTAACTTTCTGGTAGTTTGAACTCCAGTCGACTGATACCACGGTCTAATACATACATATCAGACCGGTAATCTCCGGAAATTTTTCGGTGAGCCTCCGTGGCTCACCCAGAAAATGATTTATTTGATTCAACGCTAGGTTTTTGTCCTCCATGGGTAGCTAGCTTCAGGGAGCCAACGGGCCTCTTGCCTCCACCCCCCCCAGCATTGAATGTAATGAAATGCCAATTTCTTCATGAGCCCTGGTGGCTCCCTGACACTCTTCCTTCCCTAGGGCATTGGTATGTATCATCATCATCATCATCATCATCATCATCATCATCATCATCATCATCATCATCATCATCATCATCATCATCATCATCATCATCATCATCATCATCATCATCATCATCATCATCACTGGTGGTGGGGCGAGTCAGCTGACCCAGTCCACCTACCTACCTACCTCCAAAATGAGGTGAGAAGGTGGGGCAAACTAGCGCTCACTAGTATCATGAAATTTTGCTGGTTTGTTTTCATTGTTGGGGGGGGGGGAGGGGAATTCTTTTGGCATTTTTGAGGCTGGAGTCTTTTTTTTTAGCCATACAGTAGTTTGTTTTGTTTCGTCTAACTTTCTGGGTGCCTTCCCTGGTGGTGGCAATTATGATTAACTTTAAATGTAAAGTGTTCACAGGACATCTCTCCCTGCGCCTCTCTGAGGGGTCCAGGAACTGGTTTTTGGTCCCCAGTAGGCCGAGATACCTCTACAACTGATGGTACCTAGTAGTATAGCACTGAATCAGTGTGACAGCTTCAGGGAGCATCCGGGGCTCACTCAGAAATTGGCATTTCATTACATTCAACGCTTTTCTATTGTGCTAATAATTGGCTCAAACTTGTGTTGCAAGTTTCAAGTTGATTTGATGAGGCATTCTCATGAATTATATTGCTAAGAAATCTTGGTAAAGAAAAATTAAAACTGTAGCATATGGTATTCTTTCCAGGGATTCCTTTCTTATGTCAAAACAGCATACTGTATCTTGAAAAATAATTGATCAGTGAACAACTTATGTCACTTATGTCTAGAGTTAATATAATACAATTTGTCTAAACATGCATACTCTACAGATTTTGTCATTCTCTGCAGGAAGCGACTTCACCTAAATACGAAACCAGAGAGCCTTGCCTCCCATATTGAAAGTCTTCCTTATGTTCTACATCTTTGCGACATCAATAAAGGTATAACCAACGGACAGTCACAGCCAACAGCTCCCAGTACCATCAGTAGGTTTTTGGCTCACTGAAAATGGTAAGAAAGCTATTTAATGGTCATTTCCACTGATAATATAACAATTTGTATACTGTATAAGTTTGCTTATCTGAAGCCCGCTTCTCAGAATCTTTGGGTTATCCAGCAGTTTTTGAGGCCGGATAAAAACTTCACCATATCCAAATAGGAATTCAGATACAGTGGTACCTCGGTTTAAGAGTTTAATCCGTTCCTGGAGACAGCTCGTAATCCGAAAACTTGTAATCCGAAGCTAATTTCCCCATAAGAAGTAATGGGAAATGAATTAATCCATTCCTGACTACCCAAAAACCCCACTTCAAACTAAATTTTATACCTAATTCATCGAAATCTACACTACAAAACTGTATTCAAGTTATTACTTACCCTTGCTGATGACTGCTGTTGGCGTATGGAAGATGGTGAGGAGGGGGGAGGAGGAGAGGTGTTACTGTTTGGAAGGGAAGTCCCCCTTCCATTATAACATTAGGCAGTGAGGACCTCTCTGGTGTGCACTCTCTAGCACGTTTTGCCTGCATACCACTAGGTCCTGGTTGTGGCTCACTGCTCGATTTTCTCACAACAAATCTGTCCATGGAAGATTGTTTTTCCCTTCTTTGCAAGATGTCTCTGTAGTGAGGCATCACATTGTCATTGAAAAGATTAATGCAACGGGCTACTACAGCTTTCTCTAGGTGAGTCATTTCAATAAAAGTTTGCATTTCTTCCCACATCTGACACCACTTCTTCTTTTCCACATCCTCAAGTATTTGTGGTCTTTGTTTTGTGATTGTTCTTACACCTTTTGCCATGTTAGCACTCATAATGTCCTTTTTCTTGGCAAGTATAGTGCATATCGTTGACGTGGATTTGTTGTACTGCCTACAAAGTTCAACAACACGTGTACCATTTGCATGCTTCTGAATGATCTCTTGCTTCTCCTCTATTGTCATCCTCACATGCGATTTCTTGGCTTGAACCTTACCACTGGCTTCCTTGGGACCCATTGTGAGATATATATAATGACACCTTTTATGGTCAAATGACCAAAAATCCAACAAACTGAAAATCCTGGAGAAGAATTCAGGCGGGATAGTCACTGGGCGCGAGGCACTGGTAAACTGAGCGCCGATCGCCGTGCCACCACGCGCTAGGTCGGCCTGTACGCGTATCAACACCCTCGCATTCCGAGGCAACGCTCGTGTTCCGATTCAAATTTTCCGAGGAAATCCTGCTCGTATTCCAAAAAACTTGTAAACGGGGACGCTCGTATTCCGAGGTACCACAGTAACTGAAGATTTTGCCGGATAATGCAGTCAGACATCGAGTCATACCGTAACAGTGGCAAGGGGTATGGGAGGTATTGAGGTGGCTGGTTTCACGGTACAGGGTGTTGGAGAGTGGGGAGAGTCTGGAGGGACTGTCTGAGATGTGGTGGGTGTATTTACCTAAGTGTAGTTACAGGATGAGAGCTATGCTATTGACGTATAATGCTTTGGTACTACTGTAACCCCGCGATTATCCGGGATTCAAACATCCGGAAAACGCCCTTATACGGCCAAAATCGTGATCGGATAAAGTTATCACAATATCCGGCCAAAATGGCCACAGGAACCGGATAAAAGCTGGTTTGGCTGGATGAAAATACGGCCATACCGTATTAATCCCGTCTGTGGCTCTAGACGCACTGTGGAGGAAGGGGTGGGGTGGGTGGGTGGTGTTGGGAGGGTGGGAGGGGTGCGTCAGGAGGGACCACCTGGGTACAGGAATTACCATTAATTTTAGAACAATTAATCATAGCCAAAAACAAATGAAATAAGTACTAGTAATTAAGTAATAACAAATAAATAAGTTTCCTAAAAGCATTGTGCACAGGCTGAAGTTTCCTTCAAAAATATTGTGAATTTTTTTCCTCCTGGCGGCTTACTTAACGTGCTATAGCTGCCCCACCCCAAGTGGACCCGTCCAACACTGGTCAACCCGTGTGCTCCCGTCCCTCGTGTTATACACAGTGCTGCGCCATTAGTGAAATATTTTTTTACATAACTTTTTTATTTTCAAAGTAACTTTGAACATTTTTGGCCAAGACTATGTCTGGTAGCAGCATCAGTCGTTCTGGAGGTGTTAAGAGGAAGAAAGTTGTCCTAACAATTAAAGACAAGTCACTGTTATACACCTCAACCAGTGCGGCCTCACAGTGCTGCGCCATTAGTGAAATATTTTTTTAAATGACTTTCTTAATTTTCATAGTAACTTTGAACATTTTTGGCCAAGAATATGTCTGGTAGCAGCATCAATCGTTCTGGAAGTGTTAAGAGGAAGAAGATTGTCCTAGCAATTAAAGACAAGCTACGTGTTGTTCAACCAGTGAGGCGTCACAGGCAGCCAAGCGCCTTCAACAAGTGAGGCATTACAGGCAAGCCAAGCACTTTACAAGTGAGGTGCCACAGGCAAGCCAAGCGCCTTCAACAAGTGAGGGCATGCAAGCGCTTCAACAAGTGAGGTGCAAGCAAGCGCCTTCAACAAGTGAGGCCTCACAGGCAACCCAAAAGCCTTTAACTAGTGAGGCTTCAGCAGCTGGCAGTCAAAACTAACTTAGCTTAATGAACTGTACAGTAATTTTAAGTGTTAATTTTAGTGTTGTGTTAGTATAGGTTACGTAAATTGTTAAGAATTTTTAACTTCAAGATGTGTGGCATCAATCAAGAAGACGAACACCAACAAGGTAAGTTGAGGTTTCTAGTTGAATATTTAATAATTGTATGTGGTAAGGGAATTCAAATTATGTTGTTTGTAGTATAAAAATAGTTGGAAATGGTCACTTTTGGACTCGTAGGTGAAAAAGTACCATTATCCGAAAAATGTGATAATCTGGCTGGGGGTCCTTCCCATATAGTCCGGATGATCGAGTGGAGACAGTACTGACAGTTTTGGCCTCCACCACCTTCTCGCTTACTTTGTTGCAACTCACAGTTTTTTGTGTGCTCAGACAACAACTTACTATCCACAACCACCCCTAGGTCTCGTTCTTTATTAGTGTTCTGTAATTCCTTTCCACATAATTTGTAAGTTGTGTGTGGTCTATTTTCACTAATTCCACATTCCATAACCTGGCATTTATTCACATTGAATTCCATTTGCCACTTAGCGCATCAAGCACTTTTCTGGGGGGAGCCCCTGCGGCTCCCCGGAGCTATCCATGGCTGATATGGATATCCTAACTATTTTGCATCAGTCGATGTGGGTGGAGTTCTAGGCCTACCGGGGACCACGAGCCAGAACCTGGCCCCCTCAGAGAGGCACGGGGAGCAATGGCCCATAGAATGCACATGTGATTTGGAGCATTCCGTAAATGCCATCGACCGGGACAGGCACCCAGAAAGGTAAGCGCCCCAAAACAAACCCCTATTCTGGTTAACAACAAAATTGACAAACGAGTGGACAGAACTCCCCCAAAAGAAAAACAAGCAAACTAGCATGACGTCACACGAGCCGCGCCGCATGTCTGCGCAGCTCCCCCCTCCCCGGGAGGTTATCTTCTTCTTGAGGTTATCTTGAGATGATTTCGGGGATTTTTAGTGTCCCCGCGGCCCGGTCCTCGACCAGGCCTCCACCCCCAGGAAGCAGCCCGTGACAGCTGACTAACACCCAGGTACCTATTTACTGCTAGGTAACAGGGGCATAGGGTGAAAGAAACTCTGCCCAATGTTTCTCGCCGGCGCCTGGGATCGAACCCAGGACCACAGGATCACAAGTCCCGCGTGCTGTCCGCTCGGCCAACCGGCTCCCCCGGTTGGAGGGGGAAGGGGGAGCCCCAGACCCCCGAGCCGGCGATCCACACCTCAGTTCCTCGGCTGATGGGATCGTGCATGGTCATGTGGCTCCAGCTCCAATCTTGTTTCAGTGCTGTGATTTGTTTTCAGTGCTGCTCTTACGGTGGTCGTGTGAGCTGGGAGTAGTATTCTTAGGTACTCGGGCTGCATGTGCTTAGGGTCACCTTCCCTGAGTGCCCTGTAAGTACTGCCCTTGGGGCTTGGGGTTGCCTTCCACAAGTCACCTTGGGTCTACCTCTGTTGGCTTTTCGCTGCTTGGCGTTTGGCCGCCCTGAGTGTTGGGGGTTTTCCTCCCTTGTTTACCTTGGGGTAAGTGGTAGTCATAGCACTGGTGGGGCGCAGGGTACTGTGTAGCTAGTTTTCACCTCTAACGGCGGCCGGCTCTGTTCCCTCTGGGTACGTTGTCCACTTGGGTGGTTTTTCTTTTCTTTTTGTGTTTGCCTGCCTCTTGCCTTGCCTGCCTTGGGGGTCTGCCTTGTTTTTCCCTCCCTTTATATTAGGGTCGTTTGTGTGGTGGCACCCCCTGCTTCGCCCTCGCAAGTGGACACGTCCCGTGGGTTCAGCTTTTAGCAGTTTGCTTGGTAGTTTGGGGCGCCAGTTAGCAGTGCCCTGCCTGGGATAACCCTTAGCAGACCCAGTCTAGGGGCCCTGGAAAACCCCGCGGGGGCTCTTGGGTCCGATGGAGGAGACCCTTGCGTCCCCTCTCACTGTGTGCGAGTTTGAGGGTTGCTCTGTCCCCTTGTCTCAGGGTGACTCTCATTGTTTTGCCTCCGTCATGCTGCCTGTTGGGTCGGTGACACATTCGACCCCGAGTCCTGCGAGCTGTGTTGCTTGTTTGTGACTCAATTCACCCAGTCTGCTGATGAGTTCCTTTGGGTGCAGGCAGCTCGTGCGTTGCATGGTAGGTTTAGGTTGTTGCAACGCGCGCGGGTTCTTGCTTCCCCGGACGCCCCGCGGCTGCCCCGCTTTGTGTATAGGGACCCAGACTTGGGGGTGTTGGTCGCTTCGGCCTTGGTTCCGTCCGCGCCCCCTTGTTCTTCCCCTTCCGTGGTTCATTCTCCCCCACCCCCCCTGCTTCCGGCCCCTAAGCGTCTGAGGGCTTCAGGGTCGGGGTGGGGTTTAGCGGTTTCTGAGAATCGGGCAGTTTCGGGGGTTGCCCCGTCTGGGGGGGCTACGGAGGCATTCGAG